AGAAGGGAACTTCCTTAAACCGATAAAAGGCATCTACAGAAACTTTTAGCTAACATCCTACTTCCTGGCGAGATGTCGAATGCTTTCCTAAGTTTAAGAACAAGAAAAACACATCAGTTCTCATCCCTTCTAATCAACATTACGCAGGAGGGTCTAGCCAGTGCCATAGGGCAAGAATAAGGAGTAAGAGGCATTTAGATTAGAAAGAATTAAAACTGTAGTTTTGTTTGTTTGTTTTGCAGATCATGTGAACATCTACGTAGAAAATCCTATAGGATATACCAAAACGAAACAAAACCAAAACCCACCAAAAAAACAAAAACCCCAAACCCTACTAGAACAAATGAGTTTACTTTAGTAAGGTTGCAGGATACAAGATCGACATAGAAAAACTCAATCGTATTTCTACATTCTAGAAAAATAGAATCTCAGGGCTCTGCCTGGATTCCCCTTCCTTGCCCAGGAGCCTAGAAACTTTTCCACGCAGGGGCAGTCACAACGGTCACCTTATTGTTTTCTTATACTCAGAAATCATTGTCCTAGGTTGCCTGCTACCCGATATATTGAGAACTGTTTTTTAACGTACTTTTTTTTTTTTTTTTAGTTGTTTCATGTGGAATGGCAAATCTGTCCCCTTACTCCATCTGGCCAGAAGCAGACATTCACTTCAACTCTTAATACATGAACTTCACAGGTTCTCTTTTCTACATGAGTATAACCCAAGATCTCCACCCTATCTTTCTACAGGTAAAGCGATTCGCGCTCAAATAAACTTATAAGCTGGAAAAGTAATTCAAGTGTTTATTTTTGAAAACAGGGGCAATGACAGTAAACCAGATAAAATGTGTGCTTGCAAAGGAAGGGAATGACAATATTCTTTCAGAGTTGTTTTAGTTTTTAGAATATATCGTATAAAAGTCTTCCTTCATCATTCTTCCCTTCTCCATAGATAACGTAAATCTACACCGTGATATGCATATATATCCATTGGCTATTAATTATACCTTTCCAAGAATTGTGATTCCTCATCCTTAGTGTAAGGGAAAGCTTTGGAAGGCCAATAGGGTGAACGGAAAGGAAGCGGGATCTTCTTACAAGGCAGCAACACACTTTAACTGTAAGAGGAAGACTTAGCATCACATAGTTGACATTAGCCAAGTGGTTTTCCGGTCCTGAGGCTGTCTGTCCTGCAACTAACTCCATGTATCATGGAGGTGCTCCGAGATTCCTCTTAAGCATCCTCCAGTTCCCAGGATGTTGCGTCAATTGTCTTTCGATATTCGTGGTCACACTCCCAGTTCAGCAGTGTGACCTAGAGGCGGAAATTGCCATGGGGCAGAGTCTTAACTCCCCATCCAGTGGAACCACCACCCCAGAAGTCCTCTTTCTTCACTGGGTACTAAACAGACCTGCAGAGCTCATGGATTTAGGGATAAGAAGTTCACGTTTTTGAGAGTGACTCATTAATTTAAACTTTGAGGTTTGCCCCATTCTCCTCCTGGTTTCCAGACCTGGCGTGTTCTGGTTTTAGGAGAAAAAGAACAATTTATTGGCCACTAATTCAGAGCAGATAACCGCATCCTGCAGAAGACCATTCCAACCTTTAACCGTGCAGCCAGAACTGCAAATGAATGTCATCAGCATGGAAGAAAAAAGGTCTGTGACTTATTTACATTTCTACATTGATATTATTGCTAGGTTTGTTCATATAGTTCTAAAGCAGAATCATTAAAACAAGGGCAAGAGCAAAAAGTGAAATAATTAAGGCGAGTTTTAGCAGATATCTAGATAAGAATATACACTCAATTGAACACAAAACCTGTCAAACTCTCGGTAGCAGGATTTCTTTGTTAGCAAAAGAGAACATTTTAACGATTCCTAGAAATATTGAGCCAGTTTTACTCTGTTGCTAATACACTCGTCAGCAGTACAAAAAATAACTAATTTGAAAGGCGAAAAAACCACTTTAATTTGCATTTTTTTGGTTACCGGGGAGATGAATATTTTTTCATATCCTCATCGAACATTAGTATTTTCTGTTAATAGTTCATCTTTTGCCACTTTTTTTTATTGTGTTCTTAGTGTGTTTCTGATAGTTTTTCATGAGCTGGTTATTATATATTCTATGTTGCTTTTTGTGTTATCTTTTGAAAGTCACACACATATATTTAAGATTCATTAGATAAGTACATAGTTTTGGAACTCAAAAACATTTTGGCTTTTTTTAAAAAAAATGAAAATGAAAGGATCTGTGCTGGTTTTGGGCTGATGATCATAGATTCCTCTGAATTCCGCTTACGATGCTTTCCTGCCAGTTTAGTGTAGATTAATTTACTTACTCCTTTATGTGTCCCTGTGTGCGTGAGTGCACCCTACTTGGCAGTCCTTCCCAAACTGAGAACAAGAGTTTCCGTTAGACAAAGCAGCTTCTCATCGTGGAGACGCAGATGAGCCCTAGGGCAGGGCTCCACCTGCGATCTGCTGACACGCCTTTCTTAGGCAGGAGAGGGACAGGCAGTAAGTATACTCCCCTCGGATCGTAGGATCTTATAGTACCAGAGGCCCTAACTCTAAGACTTCTGAACTCCCAGATCTTGCTATTCTTGCGGACAGAAGCAAAGGCGAGGTTAAATATGAAATAGCCTAAAATATCCACTTCACTCGGGTGAGGTTCGTTTCTCCCAGATTCACCCCCTCGGCTGCCATTTCGCTGTTTAACCACAGAATGGCTGGCTTTTCCGCTGCATTCGGATGGCCCCAAGGGGTAACTTCCACCAGTGCAAGTGTTCCTTGGGCAGGGAGTTTGCCTTCAGGTCTCTAGGAGTAAATGTCAACCAATCAAATGTGCTAATTATAAAAAAAAGTTCTTTAGGCTCTAAGTTGGGCCCCTTGGGCCATGTATACATTGAGACACGCCAGCCCTGGGCTCCGAGAAGCCGAATCTGGACCAAATGTGGCCAAGACTAGAGGGAGGAATGTAGGTGTTTGATCCAGACAGTCCCGGCTTCTG